GAGAACACACTTGGGGATGAGCTCGCCCCTGACTCGGTAGATACGGTGCAGTCGCTGGGTGATGATACCGACGCCGCAGAGGTCACAATCTGATCAGCGGCCTTATCCAACTGACGTAGCCGGATCTTCAACGCGGTATTCTCTTCCTCCAGTCTCTTGTTACGAATCTCGAGATGGCGGATGTACTCTGTCGCTTTCGAAAGGATAGACGCTTTGTTGAGTTTGCTGGCTGAGGTGATACCATCATCGTCATCATCACCGGAGTTGCCATTTGCCTGCTTGTAGGAGGCCCGTAGACTGGGCACACTGTCTCTTAGCTCAGCAATCTTCTCGTTCAGATTGGCTCTGTATCTCTTCTCGATGACATTATGCGCTCGTTTCTTTGATGGCGCCTGTTTAGCTTTGAACACAATGCATGTCATCGCAGATCCATCGTCATCACTTCCAGTCTTGCGTTTGCGGCTTGGACCGGTCGACGAAAGGGGGAAGTCAGAGTGGCCTGACAGTGGCCCCGCACCAACATGATCTGGCTGAGGGGATACATTATTAATCTGATCTCGACCTGGGAAAGATCCAAGTGAAGGTCGTTTGAAATTAAGAGATATATCAGGTGAGAACTCTTTGTGCATTGCATCAGGTGCCTCCTGACCGGAAGAGGCACTTGGCGATATAAAAGCAAGGTCGAATGGGGAGCTAGGCGAAGCATTTGTAGTTTCTGGAATTGCCTGCTCGTCATCCCATCTCATCCACTGTGTCCAATCCTGACTGGCATCGTCTGTACTTGTTTGGTCAACTGACATGGAGTTTCCTTGAGATATTCTTCTCCCAGAGGGCTCGAGAGGGGAGAACAACTGGAAATCCCCACCAATGCCGGGGTTGGACATCGTGTTTCACTGCCGGTCTTGAACCATCCGACGTTCTCGGTATTGTATTATACTATAATGAAGACAAGTTTATCAACACGAGGAGATATAGGTGAATATCTTGCTAAGATTGCGTACCTGTCAAAGCCCAAGATGGGGGGGGGGGGGGGGGGGGGGGGGGGGGGGGG